ACCGTTTCACCTGATGCTGTTTGCTAATCCAACATGGAGTCGGACGCGTCGCTTAGCTTTGGGTGGTTTCATATTAAATGTGCTGTTTATCTCAAAAGAGTCAATAGAGATTTAATCACATCAGACTCAGTTCAGGTCTTCCTTATATCAATAAATCACTCACTGCTCTCTCCAGATGTTCCTCCTGTGTTTACCTGCAGCTAAAACCTTTTTCTTCCCAGTGTCTGAGCCAAGTGAAGCAGAGATGGTTGGACTGAATATGTTGCCTGAGATTTAACTTCTCTTATCCACCACATGATGAGACTTTCTGGGTCTGGGACACTTTGGTGGAAGAGCGTTTTGACGGCTACATGCTACAGCTAGCTAAACCCTCACAAAGCAAAATCAGACTGACTGAAAAGTGAGACTTTCAGCTGCTTTCCTTCACCATAACTTGCTGATATTTTACCAAACACAGTTGCTAAGGGTAACAATGTGCTCATCAGAGTAAGAATGCTGGTCAGAACTGGAGCAGAAGTTATGCTCTCCATCTGAATTTGAGTTTTGATTAAAGTAGTTGTTGTGTACTGTTATTGACTGGTTTCCCTCAGAGCTCTTTTAAATCATTTGTTGTTTGCTGGTTTGTTAGGTTTCCTCCTGTCTTTCTAATCTTTCATGGTGTTACGTACTGATGCTTCCTTCCCATTTAACGAGCCGTGTAGCGTTGGTTCAGCTGCTGTTCTCTGTCTGCACCAAAAGCTAAAACCCAGAAGAAAAAGCATAAAGAGGATTAAATATCTCCTGCAGTTGGTATAAAGCAGGATGAGTTTTGATCCATATATTTATGATTTCATAGAGAAAGAAAAACCAGAGATGAACCTGGATGGAGTCAGCCTGTCCTCCAACGCCCCAAAATAAAAACAAAATAACTTCAACCAAATCTCTGAAAATCAGCGTCTTAACCAGATAAATTTAAACTAACTTTGGATTTTTAATTATGAGAACACACTAAGCATAAATGCTCTAATACACTTTGACCTTTAACCTTAGACTTTAGCTTCAGGATTATTGCAAGAAGCAAAAGGCTGCAGACTGAGTAAACGGTTCTGGGCGTGTTGTGCTGCTGGACCTCAGGCAGGCCGTCTGTTCTGGCCTTTTGTCGGGCCGTCAGACGGATTTAACGCAGGTTCCTCTGCTGCTCTGCTCCCAGTGAACTCTGCCTCCTTCACCCCGATAAGCTGGGATCTGGTGAGGAGCAGAGCAGAGGGACGGATTCCTGTGTGTTTGTGTGAGCCGGAGACGGGCCGGGAAAAGGAGCAGGGAGAAATCTGGGTTGCGTTGAATGTTTGGAATGTTGAGGCTTTTGGCTTCAGTTCGTTCTGACGAAGGAGGAGGAGGAGGAGGAGGAGGAAGAGGAGGAGGGGCGCGAGGACGAGGAAGAGGGAAACAGACAAAGGAGATAAGAAGAGAAGAGTGAAGAAGGAAAGGAGAAAAAAAACTGGAAAATGTTGAGAGCAAACAGAGTAACTCTGTGCTGCAGCTAATTAACCAGAACAGAGTTATTTTAGATGATTGCTGCAGCAGAGCGGCTGAAGTCGATCCCATAAATCATCTGAAGCAGCTGAAAGAAATGTTTTAAACCTCGAGACTTTAATCATCTTATCAGAATGAATGTTGTTGATCAGGTTCTGGTTCCTTCATCAGTTCATAGAAACTGAGAAGAATCACCAAACTGTTTATGATCACAGAAGTTTGGTTTTTATTTTTATTCATCGCAGGAGGAAAAGCAGGAAGTCAAACCGTTTAACGTCTGACTTGTTTTGGGTTGAAGTGGGTTCTGGACCAACCGGAGCCGTTGGTTCTGGTTTGTCCCGGGTTCTGCTCACAGCCCGGCCCGTTTGCTGCGTTTCCTCTCTGCTGGTTTCCTGTCAGTTTAAGGTCAGTAAAGCTACCGGAGCCTGTAAGGAACATTTACAGCGAGGCGTCACCATGTTCATGTTAATGTCTGGTTTTACTGAAGTATTTTATTTATCTGGGCTCCAAACGTGTCTGACTTTATTCAGGGATTAGAGATAAAATTAATCAGTTTGTGTCTGAAGCGTCATGCTGATGATGATGATGATGATGATGATGATGATGATGATGATGATGATGATGATGATGATGATGATGATGATGATGATGATGATGAGGCAAACGTTCAGTAAATAATCGTTTTTCCTTGTTTTGTTGGGAGGATTCATGATGGTGAACGTGTTACTGAGTTAAATGTCTGCAGACTGAGTCAGGAATCAAAATGTTCCTTAATTACTACAAAACATCCCAAACTGTCACTGTTTTAATCCGAAATGTCCAGAATTTCAGCCTGAATGAAATAATCTGCTGCCTGGTTGTTGGTTTGGGGAAAATAACGGCTAAATCTTTGAGTTTTTGGGTTCAGAACATGATGCACACTGAGCCGAACCTGCAGAGGTTCTGCTGCATGTTTTTACTGGAGCCAAACTGTAGGGTGTAATACCACGAGCTGCCAGGCGTGGCGCTGTTTCAGGCCTGGTCCCTCACTGAGGCAGCAACATGCTGAGATATATTCTTATTATTTCTTTTACGGCTCCTAGAGGAGTTTTATTTCCCGCTGCGGAAAATATGTTTCAGATTATTTAAAAAATGTTTGAAATGATGTTTTGTTTGCAGATGTTTGGTCAGTGAACCGTCATCTGGACCCGGTTTGTTTTCGGTCCCCTGTGTCTTTCCCTCTGCTGTCATGTGATTTGAGCTGCAGAGATGAGCAACGGTGCAGGAATCTGAGCTCCGGCCAGAACATTACATAAAGCCGCTTCCTCTCCTTCGCTCTGCCTCCGGCTCGGCCTTTTCCTCTGGACCAAGTCAATAAAGTCACTTCCTGAGACCAAGACAGACATTTCTGACAGAAATAAAGAGATTGTTTCAGGAGCTGCAGGAGGAAGTCTTCAGGTCATCAGATACTTTCAGGTTCAGTTTTGTTGAATAAGCAGCAGAATAAACTGAGGCCTGACTGGAACCGTCCCCAACATGTTGCTGCAGGTTTAGTTGCTGTTGGAGTTTCAGTGCTGAATGAGACGGAGGTGAACCTGGAACCTGAGCTGAGCTGCAGCTTTCAGGTCAAACATGCAGAGATTCACCTGCAGGGTCTCAGTTTGACAGGAGAGACGTTTGTAAAGTTACAGCTCATATTTTCATCATGTTATTCATTTATAAATTCTACAGTTTCAAATTAATTTAGATATCAAGATAAATATTTCATTTACACATTTAATATTGAACTCTAAACTACATCTTTAATAAGGAAGATAAACATTTATCTCTGAGCTACTTAGTTTGCTAACTAGACATTTAGTTTAGAGCTAAATATTTAGCTCTAAACTAAATGTTTAGTTAGGCAAGTGAATCTGCATATTAGCTAAATATGAAAGAATAAAATATAAAACATTGATGAATTTTGGTCTTTAAAACCTCCATGTTTATTGGTACCGATGTGAAATGAATCCTCAGTTGCCGTTGCTGTTGCCGTTGCTGTTGCCGTTGCTGTTGCCGTTGCTGTTGCCGTTGCTGTTGCCGTTGCCGTTGCTGTTGCCGTTGCTGTTGCCGTTGCTGTTGCTGTTGCCGTTGCCTCCTTGTTGCAACAGAAACGATTCAGATGTTTTGTTATATGTGGAGCCACTGAGCTTTATTCTAATTTAATTTACTTTTTTCCACTCATCAGTTGAATACAAAGTATTCGTGTTTCTCCTCAGTCAAACTGTAAGATCCAGATTATTTTACCTGTCTGGTGGCTGGATGGGTTTGTTCCTCGTTTACGTTGGTTTTTACTTTAAACTTTAGGATTTTGTCTGCATTGCTAACATTTCATGCCATGTTGAAAGAGTTTCGGTTGTTAAGTCTCAGAATTATAAAAGTTGTAATATCTAACATTTAAATGACCTTGTAAAGTTTAATGACCTTTTAAAACCATGGAAAGTTCAGCTTCCTGCTCTCTTCTTCTTCCCTTCTTTGTTCTATGGACCTTTTCTCCTTCCTTCATTTCTTTCTGCCTGTTTTTCTTTTACTTCTTATCAGCTCAGCGTTCCTTCTTCCTGTCTTTGTGTCCGTCCCTCTCTCCCAGTTTGTCCGGTCCTCGTTCTTCCCGCCCTGTCCAGCTGTTTTCCCTGGAGAGATGTCCGTCCCTCTGAAACGGACCTTGGCAGCAGAGAGGGGATCAGAAATGAATGTGGAGCCTGAGATGTTTCTGTTGTGTAACCTCAGTGAGCGCGCCGACAGCAGCAACATGATGAAATCACACAGAAACCTTCATTAATTCAGCCGTTCAGAGACACTGACCTGCAGCAGGAAACGCAAACAGTTTGGTCGAGTCTCAGAACCAAACAGTTCTGCATGTCTTGGACCGGGTCTGACTGTAATTAAATAAAACCCGTCTGTCGCTGCATGTCATAAAAGGAATGTTGGATCTTTATCTAAAATGTTTGAAGGCTGAAGACTGGAGTCCTGAATGTTTCTGCAGGACCCTGAACCCTAACCCTCAGCTCTGTGGGATTTTTATGTTTCTAAAGGTTAAGGTCAGAAAATCCCACATCAAACTGAAACTTTCTGGATTTCTGGTCACCTTGGCAACAAACACAACATGCTGAGGATGCGTGGCTCACATCCTGCTGGATGGATCATGTAAACTTTCCTGTTTCTGTGAATATTTCATTTTTTATGATCTTCTGTGTGTCAGTTTGCCTTCATTAACTCCTGGTTCTGGTTCTGGTTCTGGTTAAAAGACAAATTCAAACTGTTCAGAGCTTTAGAGGAAAATTTCTCTCTAAAAAAGTCAAAATGTTTCCATAAATAAAGCGAATGGTTCTAAATACACATGGAGGGAAATCTGGTTCAGTTCCATCGAATGAAGATGGAATCTGATTGGAAATGTAACATCTGTCTCTGATCACTACATAAAAACCATCACTGATGTAAAAGTTTAATAATTTTTCCTGTTTTCCTCTCAGAGATGTAGCGCGCCTGCTGGTGTGACCGTTGGACCATCATGCACCTCTTCCTGCTGCTGATCCTTCAGCTTCCAGCAGCCATTGGACAGATCGATCCAGGTGAACACGCTGAGACAAGATGGCCGCCCCGATGTGGCCCAAACCCCCACGGTTCTGGAACCTCTGAGTAAAACGGGTCTGTGTGATTCTGTGTTCAGAACATTGTCGCTATGCGTTGGGCATGGAGGACGGACGGATCCCCAACGAGGACCTGACGGCGTCCAGCCGGTGGTACGAGACCACCGGGCCGCAGTACGCCAGGTCAGCCAGGCTTCATGGAGCCGGAGACTGGAAGGAATATCGGTTTTTGTGAAATCATTTTAATATCATAAAATTTTAATGCCCCATTGAATAAAATGTAATAAACCTAAACAAAAATAAAATGATGTCTCTAGGAGAATCTGTTTTACTTTGAAGGGTTGTGAATGTGATGTGGCTGCAGCACAGTGGAGGTTCTGGGTTCGAATCCCAGCCTGGTTCCCTCTGCATGCCGTTTCCAATGAAACCTTGTGAACCTTCAGACTTTTTTCCAACATGTTTGACTTGCAGGCTGAACTCTGAGGACGGAGACGGAGCCTGGTGTCCTGAAGGGCAGCTGGAGCCTTCAGACTCTCAGTACCTGCAGGTTGGTTTCAAAAGGGTCAAAGGTTAAAAATCAGTCTGAACAGCAGCTCTGCTCTGGCTTTAGGCTCTATGTGGTTTAGATGAGGTGAAGGTGGTGAGGAGTGGAAGGTGGAGCAGGAAGTGATGCTGCTCATTCAGACTGAAAGGTTTGAACTGACGCTCTGCTGCAGATCGACCTGCGCAGACTCACCTTCCTGACGCTGTTCGGGACTCAGGGTCGGTACGCCAGAGGTCTGGGGAAGGAGTTCGCCACGCATTACCGCCTGAACTACAGCCGAGACGGACAGCTGTGGAAGTCCTGGAAGAACCGGCTGGGAAAGGAGGTGAGAGACCCGAATACAACAGAACCAAACAACTGGAGCTGGACTGGAGGGAACCAGTTCAGAGCCAGGTTTTACTCTGTCAGTAAATTTTATTTTAGAGTTTTGTTTCCTTCAGGTCCTGGACGGAAACAAAGACACCTACGGCATTTTCTCCAACGACCTGAAGCCTCCGATCATCGCGCGCTTCGTCCGCGTCATCCCCGTCACCAGGCTGTCCTCCACCGTCTGCATGAGGGTGGAGCTGTACGGCTGTCCCTGGGACGGTACGCCGCATGCTGGGCAGAGATCCGTTTCAGATCATGATCATGAAGCAGAACCCTTCAGGTTTCTCCCTGCTGTCTGCAGACGGGCTGCTGTCCTACAGCGCTCCAGAGGGTCAGCTCATGATGGCGCCCGGTAACCCGTCAGTAATCAGCCTCAACGACTCCACGTACGACGGCGTCCACGAGAAAAGGTCAGAATGTTTAAACACCAGCTGGTCCAGCTCCCCGGTTCCCTCTGACTGACGGCGTCTCTCCTAACAGGAAGCTGTCCGGAGGCCTGGGTCAGCTGACGGACGGCGTGACGGGCCGCGACGACTTCCTGGCAATCCGCCAGTACAACGTGTGGCAGGGATACGACTACCTGGGCTGGAGGAACGACACGCAGGGGACTCAGGGATACGTGGAGATGGAGTTTGTGTTCGACAGGCTGAGGAACTTCACCTCCATGAAGGTCTGCAGCTCAGCTCTCTTCTCATTTCACTCAGACTTTAAAACATCCAGAAAGTTCACAGTTACAGTGTCATGAAGAAAATCATCAAATAAATTCAAATATCAGACAAAACTGACCAGAGAAAACTCAGGAAGTTGTCCTGACCACACCGGCCCTGGGTGAAAGTAATCCCTTTCCTCTTAAATCCAGAATTAACTGGGATTAACCACTTTCTCTGGTTGCATTTAACTAACCACACCAGGCCTGATTCCTGCCGACCTGCAGAACAGATGAGGCCCAAAGTCCCTGACATGTATCAGTGGGGAGACGTTACAGAGACTCTGAGGCTTCGGGACAAACATGATCCAAACATGGAGGAGACATGGAAGAGTGGAGAACCTTCCCAGGTCGGGCCGACCCACCAGAATCACCCCAACAGCTCATCAGAGGCTCAGGAGGTCCAGAAGAACCAGAACATTCAGCTTTAAAGGCCTCACTGCCTCAGTTAGAGTGGAACCAAAGCCTGCTGTGAACACCTGGCCCCGAAGGTGTGGCCACGAACGCAAGGCCCCGAACGCGTGACCCCGAACGCGTGGCCCCAAAGGCCTGGCACCGAACACCTGGCCCCGAACGCCTGGCTCCGAACGCGTGGCCCCGAAGGCCTGGCCCCGAACGCCTGGCCCCGAACGCCTGGCCCCGAACGCCTGGCTCCGAACGCGTGGCCCCAAAGACCTGGCCCCGAACGCGTGGCCCCGAACGCGTGGCCCCGAACGCGTGGCACCGAAGGCGTGGCCCCGAACGCCTGGCCCCGAACACGGGGCCCCGAACGCAAGGCCCCGAATGCCTGGCCCCGCCTCCAGACAAATGTAAAAACGTTTCACCACAGTGGGCGGAGTCAAGATACACTAAGGTGCGGAGCCAAGAGACACCGAGGGCGGAGCCAATAGACACAGAGGGCGGAGCCAATAGACACAGAGGGGCGGAGCTAATAGACACAGAGGGCGGAGCCTAATGTGGGGCTGAACACAGGGGGTTTAGTGGTCTGAGCCTCTTATTTTTTTAAAAAAGCAACAAGTAACAAATTCAGTGACTTTTGAACAGTTTGTCTTGAAACAGATGTTTGTTTTTCCCAACATTGACTCGTTTGTCCTCCTCTGTCTTTCTGTCCAACTCTTCACTTCCTCCTGTATCCTGATGCAGGTTCACAGTAACAACATGTACACCCGCGGTGTGAAGATCTTCTCCTCCGTGTCCTGCTGGTTTAAGCCTTCCCTCAGCTGGGAGCCGGAGCCCGTTTCCTTCTCCACCATTCTGGACGACAGGAACCCAAGCGCCCGTTACGTCACTGTGCCGCTGAGCCGTCGGGCCGCCAGGTCGCTCCGCTGCCGCTTCTACTACGCAGACGTCTGGATGATGTTCAGTGAGATCTCATTTCAGTCAGGTAACGATTCAGCCTATCGCCGTTCCTCAGGTCTGAGTGTTCGGTTCTCTGGTTTTTAGCAATTTACCACAAAGTCAAACTTTGTGCAGGTTGTAAAACATAAAAAATGACCATGTTTTTGTTTACTAGAAGACATCATCCTGCCAACACAACAGCCACTGATGGGGACATCTGTTCCAGGAGGACATAGGGACATCACCATGACAACCACACCAAAGTCTGATAACACAGGTAAGACGTCATGTTCCTTTAGATTGTTTAGTTTCCTGCAGAAACCTTCATGTTCTCTCCGGTTCTCCTCAGCAGCTGCTCCGTCCGCCAGCAGCAGCTCCGACGAAGGGAACACGCCCATCCTGATTGGCTGCCTGGTGACCATCATCCTCCTGCTGGTCATCATCATCTTCCTCATCCTCTGGTGCCAGTGTGTCTGCAAAGTGCTGGAGAAGGTACAAAGAAAAAAAACACATATCTTTCTTGAACTGATCTTAGTTAAAATACAGGTCCTGTGAACTGAAAAGTAAAAGTTAATTTTTTCGGACCCAGGCTCCTCGTCAGATCCTGGATGAGGAGGTGACGGTCCGCCTGTCGTCCTGCAGCGACACCATAATCCTGCAGACGCCCCCGGTGCCGCCGCGCTCCCGGCATCCTCCAGCAGGTAGCGCTGTCACTGGGAAGCCACAACGGTTTACCTGTTCAGGTCTTAAGATTCATTACTGTTCATCTCAGCGCTGAAGCGTCTTATGTTCTGAAGACACAGAGTCGGCAGCTGCTTCATGTTTTATCACAGAAAAACAGAAGTATTTTCCAGAAAAACACATTTTGACTGTTTGTAGGGATGAGATGAGACATAATTCATTTAAAGGTCATCAGAGGAAACATCTAGAGCTCAGATGGAGGAAACATTTGTCAGCAGAAGGCCAACAACTCGCAGTCTGTCAGGACAAATGATTTTCCAGCTGCCGCCTCAACCCTTCCAGCACAAAGAGCAACACGACTGTCAGATCCGAAGCCCGACCCGCCACTCAGGCTTTGTGCGTCTGTTGATCCAGGAAGTGATGCCAGTTTTAACTACAGGAAGTCATGTTGGCTGCAGGGTGAAGCAGAGGCTTGCTCCCAGATGAAGTCCTGCTCTGTCTGAGTTCTGTTTGCATGTTGCTCCTCCTGCTGCTCCTCAGCTTCCTGTCAGAGAAACATGGACGTCAAACTGGGCCTCAGTGGCATCGCTGTGAAATCCCACTGAGCTTCTAGAACCTGGATTTAGCATCAAGGCCGACTGATGACCTTTAGCATGATGACCTAATCACCATAGACCTGCCAATTGGCAATTGAAGTAAAGTAGCTTTGATTTCAAAGAAGCTGACATTGAAGTCAATTGGCAAATGAACCATCATGAAAGAGGAAGGCTCTTGTCTCACTGCACCCCAAGAGATGCATAACCTACAA